GGGGGGGGATTAAACATTGCCCCCTCCACCGTTATCAGGGCGTCAAACACCCTGCGTTAAAGGGTTAACGTTGCGCCACTGCAAGAAATTCATTGCCCCCTCCTCTCTTCAACGGTCAAAATTATTGCCATTGTGCATTTAAAAAATTATTTTTTCAACTATAAATACTCCTTATTTAAAAAAATACGCGCACAACACATTCTTATTCTCTCCATAATCTATCCAAAATATATTCTATTTATTTCTATCAATTATCCAAAATATCTAAAAAATGAGATTATCCAAAATATTTCTAAAAGTAAGTTAAAGCTGACGTAACAGAAAGAAATTTTGCTAGCCTCGGGAGCTCACGAGTATTTCCAAAGCTGTAATGTGAACTAGAGGGGATAGAGTAGGGATAGAATGGGGAGAGTAAAAAATCTTTTTCTCCATTATTTCCGGCAACAAATAAAGTCCATGTCTTGGACTTTTAAAATGCCCTTGTCCCCCCCTCTTCTCTTTACCTCCACCATCACCCTGCCCTCGATTAACTTTAACAAACTTATCTATCTTCTTCCCAGACTTTGTCCCCCTTTGAAACAGAGCACCCCTCCCTCTTCCTTTGATCGAATTTCATTCTCGGAAAATGAAAACAATCATGGATCGAAATCCCAATGATTCTCTCTCCATCTCCAGCAGACACTTCAACTGGAGAGACAAACCCGAAGACTACGACGAAGAAACCAGGCTGCCCGAGCTCGATTTGGCCGTCCCCAAACGGAAGCCTCCCCGGACGGCGGTGGCCAGGCTCCGCTCCGTCTTGAGCTTCGGAACCAAGAAGCGGGCCGGCGGGGGAAATCTGGGTACCCGGGTCGTCGGGACTCTGTTCGGGTACCGGCGTGGGCACGTCCTGTTCTCGTTCCAGGACGACCCGAAGCTCTGCCCGGCGTTCTTGGTGGAGATGGCGATGCACACGAGCGTTCTGGTCCGGGAAATGGCGTCCGGCGCGGTCCGGGTCGCGCTGGAGTGCGACAAGGGGACCGGGAAGAAACCGGGCCGGATTCTGGAGGAGCCGGTTTGGAGGACGTACTGCAACGGCCGGAGGTACGGGTTCGCCGTGAAGAGGGAATGCGGGCCGGACGAGTGGAAGGTTCTGAACTCGATCGGGCCGGTCTCGATGGGCGCCGGCGTGTTGCCGGCGAAGGAAAGCGACGGCGGCATGCCGGCCGGCGAGATGACGTACATGCGGGCCATGTTCGAGAGGGTGGTGGGGTCCAAAGACTCGGAAGCTTTCTACATGATGAACCCAGACGGCCATGGAGGTCCGGAGTTTAGTCTCTATTTACTGAGGGTTTAGCTCAATTTAATTACGT